TCAGCAGGGCCTGTTGGTGATGACAGTAAGTATGCTACTATCAGCAAACACCCGCAGTCTCTTCACGCTTTTCCTTTCTCTTCTAAAACGGGATGTCCAGTTCCTTAGCAAGGAGAACCCTTCCGTTTCAGTTCAAGTACTAGACACTATTCCACATACTAATCTTCAATTTGTTGCCCTCCTGTATCTCTTAATACTTCCCTTGCGTGTCCCTGGAGATCTGTTACTCCCATCTTATTGATTGGGAGACTTGTGCACTCAGGACGTTTTTAGTTACGCTTTCTGAATTAACTGTTCTGGCTTTCTCATAGGGCATGGAGTTAATGAACTTCAGTAGCTCTATGGCCAAACCAGCAAGCAGTTGCATGCAGCTTTCTGAACTTCTTTGGTATCTAAACTGGCTAAAACAATCTACTTGCAATACGAGCAAGGTCGGGGTTAACTGTATTTTACACAGGGGTTAGTTAACGCTGCATTTTAAGAGGGTTACAATGTAGTCCTTGGGGATAAGAGGTTAAAGCATGAAGGGAAGGAAAGCTAGTTGGTAAATTAAAGCTTGAATTGTGAAGTAATGTTAGATTTTTTTAAAGTTTGTTACTGTGGTCAAGTGAGTTATAGGAACACTGGAAACATTGCTTATTCTTAATTTGTTTTTTGCTATTGTATTATAGAGCACACCAGAGTACAAGAACTGAAAAGCAGGTTTGGCTGTTAATTTTTAGGGGGGATTTGACTCTGTTCAGAATACTGTTGTGGCTTTCTTGGTGAGCAAAATCGGAATGTCTAAATCCTGCTGTCATGACTAACTTGTCTCTTGATTTGGACATAGCTGCTTAGGTATGAGATAGGGTGCTCCACCTGCACTCCCTTAAATCACACAGTGCTGTTGTGGTTGAAAACTGTACTCAAAACCAGTTGGCCCTGGCAGCTTCCACATAAGGGGTAGCCTAGGATGATCTTTTTGGCCTGTGCATCAGCTGGTCATCTGTCCTGTGCGAGGCTGGCTGCCTGGTGTGTGGTTTGGAGTTGTTGTTCTGGCCTTTTGAAGCTCGAGGAGCTGTGTTAAAGAAAAACTGCATTTTCTCAGCTGTAAAGTCCTACCCTGAATTTTTTTGTCTAACATAATTTTATAGTAAGGAGGTTTACTGTCATCTTGGGTGTGTGTTTTTGCCTAGGGAGGAGGGCGAGATACATCCTCTGACTTGACAATGGCGTTTATGTGGATGCTTCTTTATCTTAGTTGTAGGTAATGTTCCCCAGTCTGGTTTGATTAGCTGTGAATAAGGCAGCTTGGTTGTTGCCCTGTACTTTACGGTGGTTTTCTGAGAGAGGCCTTTAAACTGCAGTGGGTTTGCAAGCTGTGCGGTCTTCTCCATGTTAACTAGGATTTTGCACTTTCCGGTGAACTACCTTCTTTATAGCAGCATTTAATGTAAATCATTAAGCATAAATCTTGGTCATAAAACATTAAGCGTAAATCTTGGTCATAGCTTAGGTGAGCAAGATCAGTCGGATGTTTGCAAGGAGACAAGCACACTTGCAAATGCACCTTTTGCTTTATAACCTTACCGTGGGCCCGCATTAACCACATTGGCCTTTAATGCAGAAAAAGCCTGCAACGAGGGAATGTGTTTACGCTTCCTCGTGGCTACGTAAGGCTAAGAAAAGGCTATGTAAGAGCACTTGGGAGCCGTGACTGGGATGCCCATCAGACAGCACACATTGAACTTGCTGTGCAGCGTGGTCTCTCTGACAAGGGTGCTGTTCAGTGAAGTGTCCAAGCTCGTGGGGGGAGGGGATATTTAAGCAGGGAAACCCTCCGTCTATGCGCGGAGAACTCTAAGCTTAGGTATCCTTTCTAAAAGGGAAAAATTAGCTGCCAAGATCTTCCTGAATAATTTCTGAACTATCTGGAAGTGTAGAAGTATATAGAAAGTTACACATTCCTATAGAAATCTGGGACTAGATTAAAGAAAACCGATTGAGACCTGGGAATGGAAATGCTGAGATTAGTGGAGATGTTGCTGTTCAGCAACGCTTTCACACAAGTGAAGGCTGCATTCGGTTTTGAGGGGTTTTAGCAGTGGTGTCAAGCTGCTTCTAGTTACTCCACAACTTATTTCTCCTTTCAAAATCATATTTTAAAGAAGCTTGTAGTTTCATAGAAGAGAAACTATTAAGATGTAGAGCCAGTCCGAGGCTTTTCTTCCCTTAAATTAGCAAGTGTGATTTGTGCCATGATAAACCACTTCGTAGTTTCCAAAGACTATCGGAGGTGATGGAGACTGTCTGGCGGAGGAGGTGGTAATGTACAGGTGGTGAATGCTTATAACGGGAAGTTACTACTGAATACAGAAAGCTTTAAAGTAATACTCAGTTCTTCTCCTCCTGCCACCTTTCTGAGAGACCCCTAATGAAAGACTTTCACTATGGAGTGCAACGCTTTGGGGGTACGGGAGTGGATAGCAGTGGCAGCAATGGAAAGGTGCCTTCTCCAAGATCCCTGTGCGCTGGGTCTGCCTCTGCCTGGTCAGAATGACATTTCTCAGAGTTCAGGACGTGCTGTGCTTGCAAAGTGGTGTCTTGTGGCTGGTCCGGCCAATGTAAACTGTCCCCAGTTACAAGCTGCTCGTCCTTGTGGCTCGTAAGTTTTGGAAAGTGAAGAGCTGTGTCTGCCCTGGTAACTGTGGGGACAGGATTTCCTTTCTCTTGGTAATGTAGTTTTAGCCCTTTAGCCCTCTTTCACCAATCTCTGGGGCGTGTTTTGGTTTTTTGGGGTTTTTTTTGGAAAATACGCCTTGCGCTGGATTACACTGGTGTACTTCCAGAGCGTTGTGCGGTGGCTTAGTTCACTTCGGAACGTGTCCCTGTGCTTAGCTACCGAAAGTCAGCAACCCCCTTCCTTTGCAAATAACTTTTTGAATGGCTGATTTCAAAGTAAAGGATCAGTTGAAATAATCTTTGCATGACAAATCCATCTTTTAGTTCAGCGAACTTGTCCTGGATGTTGTGAGAAATCTAAAGCTGGGGTTAAACCAGGACTTTCCTTGAGTCTGGGGTGGGAGTTGAAATGGGGAGGGGGGAAGAGAGATGGGGGAACAAAAACCCAAACAACCAAACCACCCTTCTAGCTTGTAAAATGTTAAGATTCACTGTGAAAATATTTTTCTTTTTGGTTTCCTGTTGGCTGTAAGACAGTAGTTGGGTCTATCAGCTTCTCTTGTCAGCATGCGGAGGTGTGCAGGGTAATGCCCAGTGCTGTCCGTGTGCTCCAGTGCAGTCACAGTGAATCTTATCAGCATCTACTGATGCTTGTGGTTCTGTGATTAGCCACGCTCTTTGCTGCTGGGTTTCTGCCACTCCTTTGTCCTCTTGTTCTGGGTGTCTCGCTGTCCCACTACAGGTGATAGGAGCTGCCTGTGAAGCACTCTGAACCTTGTAAAATGGGTAAACACATGAGCCGCTGTCCTGATCCTGACTCTACACTGAGTGCAGAGCTTCTCGAAAGGCAGCTGGAGCTGTTGTAGCCCTTGCAACCAACCTGCTGCTCCAACCAAAATGCCCTTCTCCCCTTGCCTTGGCAGGGCCATTCCCGCTCTGGTAATGCCTGTACCATGTGTAATTAAAAACTGCTCGTGCTAGGTGAGAACAAGTAGTGCCACTCTGGGCCAAAATTACTTTTGGCACAGGTAGTTTTCACAGCTGTAGACACCAGTTGCAAGTTAAGTCCATAGCTGCAGGTGGCTTCAACTTCTGTGTCTTCAAGACTTGCCTTGTAACAGCTGGAGTCTTCGGTACAGCTCCCCGCTTCTGAAGAGACGATGGAGCTGACATCCGTGCAGAGGGAAACTTCCCACAGTACTGTTTCACAAATAATTTAAGCTGATGCTCTGCGCAAGCTGGCGTCGGAGCCTTTGGAGAGCGCAGGAACCCCGAGAACTTCCCAATGTGCCTCATACAGATTAACAGCTTGGATTGTTTTCCTTATGTTCTGCAGCCTAAAGACATTCTTCACGAATCTTCTGTATTACCAGATTAAGATGTTCTCTTGGACAGATGCATACGAGTGAGACTTAATTTTTGTCCATTTAACCTAAAGCGTGTACTAGCACATCCTGGTCCCAAGTATCGAGCAGGCTGTTGTTCTTGCGTTCTCTTAAGACTTGCATTGCTTTCTGCTGCTTTAATGAAATCTTGAGGGCTCTGTGGAGACAAAGCTTAAACATTCAGTCAGGGTAACACCGGCTTAGGTCACCTCTTTACATATGGTATATACAAAGCTTAGGCTCACCCTCCATTTAACTAAGGATCTGTACAGGAGAGCTCCGACCCGAGAAAGGCATGAGTTCGTGCTGTAGCTTGCCCTAAGAGGGCAGTACAGTCATTGGAAACTGGGCTCAGATTCCAGTCCCTCACTGGAAAAAAACCAAAGTTGAACTCGCAGATTTGTTGGGTTTGAAATAGTCACTATAACTGTCTGGATTTTTATTGTAAAGGGATTTTTTGCAGGGCACAACATGTGTGTGGTATCACAGCAATCCCAAAGTGTGGACCGACTGAATGTGGCGTGTTGAGTACTTTGCTCTGTATCTGTTTAATTCTTTGGCTTGCTTCCCTGCAGCCTTTCAGAAGGCTTTGTTTTTAAAATAGACTTTTCTGTGCTGCTTTGTCTGGAAGTAAGTAGTTCGTTACTTGAGCTTCTCCAAACTGAAGTAAGTCTTTCTCTTTTTCAGTGTTCCATTGGCAAGCTACAATAATGGGACCAGTAAGTATGAGAGAATTGATGTTCATGGCTTTCTATGACCAGCCTTGTTGTAATAACTCCTCAAACGGCAATGATTCTTTCTCATTAACAGAATGACAGTCCCTATCAAGGTGGAGTATTCTTCTTGACAATTCACTTCCCCACAGATTACCCTTTCAAACCACCTAAGGTGAGTGGCCTCTACCGTAAATCTCTTCATTACCACATGGTGTAATGTATGTTTGTGAGCCCACACTGAAATTTTCCTTCTTCTGCAGGTTGCATTTACAACAAGAATCTATCATCCAAATATTAACAGTAATGGCAGCATTTGTCTTGATATTCTACGATCACAGTGGTCCCCAGCACTAACTATTTCAAAAGGTACCTCCAATGCTCATTTAATTGTACTCTGCTGAAATGAATTACTGACTGGGATTTGGAATGTAAAAACTGCTGCGTTCCTGCTGTCAACCGTTTCTGTGGTCACTGCTTCAGTCTTGTGACTCTACGTCTAGCCCGCAGCCAATTCGGGAGCGCAGGGTGCTCTGGGCATCCAATGTCCCTGTAACCGTAGGGCGACTGTTCAACTTTGCCAGCGGATCAGATAAGTCTTACTACACTAAGTACATAGGCTTGCTACCTCAGAGTCTAAACACTTCAACTAAAACAAACCAACCAACCCCGAAATTAAACCTGGTACATGACAATGCAAGACTTCAACGCTCAAAATGCACACCAAGTAAAATATATAAGGGAACAGCTGCGGCCTTTAAAAAATGCTAAACCTGCTTTGTCATCTTAAAAAACAAAAAGGGCCTTTTTCAAGGGAACAGCAGAACTCCATGTTGGTCATTTTTTTTTTTTAACAAAACTTTAAACGACATGGACTCTACTAAAACATATTTTAAAACTTAACAGGCTTGCACTATCTTAGTTTTTATTTTTTAGCGAAAAGTCTTGGCCCATGTGAAAAGTTAGCTTGTGGGGCATTGGAATATGTCCTTTGCCTGGCAGAGCAGTATTTGTATTTAATGCAAATAGGAGGTTTGAAAGAAGACCCAAGGGTTGAGTTTTACTGATAGTTCCGGCTATCAAAAGTGTAAACCTAAGGCTTGTAGATCTAGCCATGGCAGCTGAGAATACTGTTGGTCTCTTCTGTGCACAGACCATGTCCTGACCGTTCCATTTTTGTAGCTTCATGCTGTTTTTGTAATTAAATGCTGCAGATATCCCATCTAATTACAGTACCCTTCCTGTTGTGTCCCAGCTCTGTGAGGCTGTCCTGTCACCTGTAGTTCTTCCCTCCAACCACATGTGATGTTCCCGGACACTTTCTGGTTCAGACCGATGACTCCCGGTACCCCTCCCTTGCACGCTGTAACTGTCCCCCTGTTACTGAACTCGCAGAAGTTCCAACCTTCTCTGTGCAGCTAAAGGCTTCAGCATTTGTAGCAACAGATGAAAAGGCAAAACAATATCTTGACTTAATCTCTTGGCAGAAGTGAATCTGCTAATACGCGAAGCCGAAAGTCTTCGCTGTGAGAACTGAAGAAATGGCGTCAGTCAAGGGAAAGTGATTATCAGGTTGACGCCGTTTTCCTTAACAAGTGCTTTCAGTCAAGCACTGGCTACTGTTGGAAGCACGAAGTTAGTACGAAGTACTGATGTAATTCATGCTTTGATTAAATTGCTGTATGACCGGTTAGAATACTATAGCTGGAGAATGTGGCATGGTGTCTTACTTCCGCTCGTGTTAGTCCTCTGCAATGAGGGTGTAGGCTGTGGGGTGATAGATGGCACGTTTGAAAGTACTGGAGGAGAGACTGGAATTAGGACAGTTGGAAAAAGACAGGGCAGCAGTTTAAGAGCCTAGTTAAGGGCATCAGTGGACTGCCTATTAACAGCTGTCAGCTTTAATCGCTCACAGAATACATAATAAAGTTAATTTTGCAACCCAAATACAGTTGCACTATGCTCTCAACATCTCCATCTCCTGTTCTTGAACTCTTCTTTTTTCTTACCCTCTTCAAACTTGCATCCTCGTGGCTTAGCTAGAGTAAGCCATGGGATCAGTGTGGCCATTCTGTGCTGCTTAGCCCCTTCTGTCGCCCTATTTCCCTCTTAAAGGACGCTTCCTGAGATCAGGTGTCCTTGTACTGCTCACCACTTTCCACGCATTGCAGAAGCATTCCTGTGAATGTACAAACTCTCCTTCACACCGTGCAAAATGCGCATGGATGTAACCAGTGAGAAAATCTTGTCCAAGTTCCCTTGGTGTTCATTTTGTGAAGGAATTAAAGGCAGCAAAAGAAATTCTTAGGTGTTGACTTCACAGAAATTCAGAATACTTCCCTTGGAAATAGCAGGGGTGTCTTGTCAGAAAGCAGACCTCAATAAGAGGCAAGAGCTGATACTTAAAGAAGCATTCCTGTCTTGAACAAGTATAAGTAAATTCCACAAAGGCAACTTCAGTCGTTTTGGGTGGGAGTCTTTTCTTCAATCAGTTCAGAACTGTGTCTTGCAGACTTCGGGGCTATTTCAGCTCCAGTGACTCTTTGATTAGCCTTATCAAATAATAAACATGTTGCCAGTAGGAAAAGCTGTTGCGTTAGGTAATTAAAAGTGAATAACAAGACTTATTCAGCATGAAGCTCGCATCCCTTCCAAAGCAGCAATTTAATGTTTCTAGTGTAGATTTCTTAGAGTATTTCCTAAACTGTGCCACCCTTTTGAAGGGGATGCTGTTGGGAGCAAGCTGTTTGAGTTTAAAATCTGTAAGCAGACAACTAGAACACAGCTATAAAAAAAAAAAAAGTGCTTTCTTTATTGATGGAGAAATTGGGGAAGAGTAGGAACAGTTCTTCTAGGAAATGACTTAATCATGAACAGCCTCTTCACCCTGAGGTATCTGGTCAGCAACATCGCCGCAGCTCACATGGGCTAGATGTCGTGTTGCAGTTAACGTGTAGTACCTGAACATGTTTTTCACCCTAACCTGCAAGGGGAAAGGTGAAGGGGTATGTAGTGACTTCCTTTTCATCTATAGTGCCGCTTTTTTGGTGGAAAGACTGTGAAAACTCATGTTGGTGCTGCTTAATCAGCCTGGTTAAGTGGTAAAGGTTGGGGTCTTGGCTCCTTGAGCTGTGGAGGACGGTGGGCTGCTCCAGACAGCGCTGAGTATCTGGCTTGGGAGCCTGCCCCTGCCCTCTCTGCTGGGTGAGGGAATGAAGGCCTGAGGGTGGGGGCTATTGGGGCCCTGCTAAATGAATAAGGAAGCTTCTCTCCCTCTGTAAGCAACTTAATAAGTGATCTTGGCTATGGTAGTAGAGGTTGACTGGCATCTTGGGAGTTTGTTCTGTCTTTCTAAGCGTTTGTCCCTCCTAGACTTGTTAAAACAGGTTCTGAAGAATTGAGAGAACACCACTGAGTGTCTCAGTAGAATAGCTAACCTGCTTGTGTCAGTAATTCTGAAGTAAGTGTTCCTTAAAGAGTACGTATTGTAGAATAAATCATCTCAAAATACAGGCTTAAACACACCCTGGTGGTTCATATAAGCTCCAAAGCTTAAGCAGAATACGTAGGCTTAAATGAAAAACATTATCTCAAAGTCTGCATAAGAATCCGTGTTGCCTTAAACAGGAGAATGAAGTGTTTTAACAGGATTATGTCTGTTCTTGGCCATTTTGGGGAAAGTCCCATTTTCTCCTGAGTTTGGCAAGTGGATGTGCAAGAGTTAGTAGTAGACTGAAGTACCTCTTTGGTCAAGGGCAGGCTAACTTGCTCTGTCTCCTCCCAGAGCTTACATGAAGTGCGTTGGAAGACCCTGCCTGGTGAATGGCAGTGAGTACCTTCAGCCGTGTTTGCTCAAGGGTGTAGCTCTTGCTGTTCAGACTCTTTGATGCCCCGTGCAGTGTGACTTTTCTGTGGTGCTGCTCCTACAGGTGTTCAGGAATTGCTTTACCAGGACTTAACAGGTGGGAATTCCCAAGTGCCCAGCAACCTAAATAAACTTGATCTTCACAGTGCAGTTTTCGAAATTAGGAAGTTGGTTTCTGATCATCCTCTTGGCTTTTAGTTTGCCTGTTGTAGTGCCTACCCAAATGACTGATGGGGGGACATGGCTTTGTCATGTAGGAGTGATCGATCTCTCCATATGTGCTGAGTTAGGGTTGTATGGGAAACTTCCAGTCTAGCACTTCCAACTGTTTTGCAACTTTAATGTGTAGCTACTTGTGTAACTTCCCAGATGTTGCCCTTGCTGTAGAGGAGGCCGCGCTAGGAGTGGTGTTGCCAGCAGGCCAAGGGAGATGATCCTTCCCCTCTGCTTGGCACCGGTGGAGTCGCAATTGGAGCACTGTGTCCAGAGCTGGGCTCTCCAGAAGTGGAGAGACATGGATGTGCTGGAGAGAGTCCAGTGAAGGGTCATGAACATGAGGAAGGGACTGGAGCACCTCTCATGAGGACAGGGTGAGATAGTGGGGACTGTTCAGCTTGGAGAAGAGGAGGCTCAGGGGGATCTTATCAATGTATATAAGTACTTGAAGGGAGGGTGCAGAGGTGACAGAGCCAGGCTCTTCTCAGTGGTGCCCAGTGACAGGACAAGAGGCAGCAGGCACAAGCTGAAACACAGGAGGGCCCCTCTGAACATCAGGAATTATGTATGCATATTTTTTATTACTGTGAGGATGCTGAGCACTGGGGCAGGTTGCCTTGGGGGTTGTAGCGTCTCCCACATTGGAGATACTCAAAAGCCATCTGGACGTGGTCATGGGCAACCTGCTCTAGGTGGCCCTGCTTGAGTTGGGGGGGTTGGACAAGATGGTCTCCAGAGATCCCTTCCGACCTCCACCAGTCTGTGATACGCTGGGCAAACGTTAATTTTTCTTCTCTTGTCACCAGAAATTGTTGAACTGACTTAGCAGGAATTCAAGTTGCTTTGAAGCAAGAAGTTTAAACTGCTCAGATTTAAAGGTACACTTCCTGTGAGACTAGGTAAGATTGCTGGAAGAGTTTGACATGGGACATTGGTTTAGAAATAGGATTTAACTCAAGCAGAGCCTGGGGTCACTTTAACTTATGCGGGTGCATCCTGCCCATTCGGTCAGAAGCCGGTCATTTGGTAGCTAGCGCTTGAAGGCGTTGGGCAGTCGTGTTTGCAGTTGTGTCAGGATGTTACAAGCTTAATGTTTGTCAGCGCTAATGACAACTGTAGGCCTCAAAAGTTTCGAGGGTCTGGGGCCTGGAACTCAAACACAGTGGTTCTATGGGCAAATTCCAGGAGTCAGCCTGCTTCCTATTTTTGAAGGGTGGTGATCTGAGTCGCAGTGGCTCTTGATGTGGAGGCTTTTGGCTGTCAGGCTGATGATTAACAAAGGAGGAGC